AGGAAGAAACCTGTGTTGTCGGGAAAACTAGCTATTTTTGCAGTTTTAACTTGCCCGAGATCTCCTGCTCTATCACCAGAAAAGAAAAGACTCTTGAAGAAAGCTTGATCCCGCGCAGTAAGTAACGATCCCCGAAAAAGATCTATCGTAGCTTGCCTATATAAGAATCAACTGTAGTATATGCAAAACGCAACGGGCAAGAACAAGAAAATATACCATGCATACCGAACAAATAACAAAAAACCAACCAAAATTCAACACAGATACAAACAAATGAAACATCCTAAAATATTTGAAAACACAACGGGACACAAATAACAACAGACACAAAAGCAAAAATAAATTACATAAAAAACTCAAATATAACTCCCAACACAATACTATTGTCAATCTCTCTAACAAACTCATCTCACAAGAAGCACAAAAAACCCTGTCGAAAGGTCTTACCTTTGTCCAAACACACACCATACAAGACCATATATGACTCTTTTCTGAAATATAAAAAAAGCATGTACAATAAATATTTCTTCAGAAACAGAAAGAGCACTAAAAACATCCATTTAAACTACCCAGTAACTTCACAGCACCAAACCCTGACAACAGCAACCTGTTAGAATACATATCAAATGTACACTTTCAAAACTGAATTTGGAACACAAAAACAAACTCCAAAAACCAACATATCCCCACAAAGCCTCAAAACCATCCATGATCTGAAAAAGGATGCTTATATAATAATCAAACCAGCAGACAAAGGAGGAGCCATTGTGATATGGCCAATGGAAGATTATCTTATATAAATAACTTTATAATGAGAAACACAACCAGAAACTAACACACGAAAACCTTTTCCAGCAGCCAGTTTTGCGAAATATAAGAGAAAACATACTCCGAAAATAAACATCTTGTAAACTCAAGATATGAGTTTAAAAAACAAGACAGAAAATTCAAGGTGATATTTCTACTCTATTTCAAAGTCATTGTCAAACCTGACTTTTCAGAGTGGATATAAACACAAACCAAAGAACTTACTGGGACACACTGGGTAACAAGTGAGAACATGCAAGAACCAACACATGACAAGCAAACCTTATGGCACTCTCCTGTGAAAACAACAATACTACATGACCCTTAACCAGTCACCTCAAATCTGGCATCCTGCTGAAATAAGTATAAAATAATTTTTAAAAAATACTTGTCCTTAGTAGAATTTGGCCGTAAATGTGACCAGATGCCCGAACAAAACCTAAATGTTCAACCACACAGATTAAATACACTTCAAATCAAACCACATGCACATGGTCACGGAAACATAGTCCAGTCCAACAATCTTTATGTAATATAATGTACAATCCATATGCTGTATATATACAGTAATTAAAACGCACGACAATGACCACATTGACTTCGAATTACTGATGATGATTCAAATACCAATTAACTAATGGTTTATATCTATATACCTACAACCTTACACTCACAATTATATGCATGTTTTACAAACTTATTATATAAAACTTCAAAATACATAAAACTGCCACAACTGTATCTGTGTTCGAAGATGACCGGACACTTGAATTGCAGGTTAAGTATGTTGACCTTTGGCAATTTGAAGATTGAGTTTGTTGGTAAACAAACATGCACCAGGGACAGCAAGAGAAAAGGAAATACATTTTCCAGTGAAGCCTTGCAAGGTTTTAACCCTCCACAGTTCTGGATTGAACAATAGTGCGGAGCAAGCGAAAAAACTTATTCTTCTTCTTGGCAAGCAAAAAGAACACTTGCTTCACAGAATCAACGAGAAAGCCTAAATACGGCACAATTTGTCTAGGAACGAGAACCGACTTCTGAAGACCTAAAATTACCCTAGAAATACACTCCTGTGTGGCGGTCGTCAATATATAAAGTGCAGAAAATGGCAATAGACCGGAAGTAATGGGAAATCAGTAGGCCAATAGTGTGGTAAACGTAGACTTAGGATTTCGCATGATAAATACATGGAGAAACATTTGAAAAGAGAAAAGACAGCATGTAGCATACAAAACAATTAAACAAGCTGAATACCCACCTCAAGTGGTGTATCATATTCGCCTTGAACTGGCGGTTGTGCTGCTGGAGTAGTAGCTTCAGAGGTGGAAGCCGACTGAGTTCTGGTTGTGGTTGAGGCGCTTGAAATAAGACAACACCAACAAGTATTATCAGTTACAATATGGGAAATCGCCAAAGTAGATGGTGGCTGAGGAACCTGCAGCGCACCAGTGGTCTGCTGTTGCTTGTGTGACATACTGATTGTGCTGTGCAGCTCCTATCTCTATGACGTCTTGAAATGACCCTGCAGTTATATCGTACTGTGCCCTCTTATGCCACTAGGTGAGACGGCTGAAAATAGTTGGCAAAAGCAGATGCTATTTATGGAAGTGCCGAATGCAAGAGATATTTGGCCGAAAATAAGTGAAGTGATATTAGGAATAAAAAAGGTGCAGAATAATATGAAAACTTATTTGATTGTTTTAATATCTATTTTAGAAGACCGAATCTTGGAAAAAAATAGTTTCCTGAAGATGAGACAACTCTACTACTTATATGAAAAATTTGGTGATCTAGCCAGGTATAAACAAAGAATAAATATCATTGAGTATGGTCTTGTGTGCCTAAAAAGAGATGAACAATTCTTTGGCATTTAGAGTGTTTTCCATTCATCAGAGGAAATTAGTATGCAAATATGAACAAATTTTATACTGAAGATATAAAGGCAGTCATGATAACAAATTGAAATTAATATGTAAAACTTTAGCCCCAGCACAGGTTACAACCCAATTTAAAAGTTGAACCCTGTGCATAGGGGCCAAACAGACAAAAAGCTATAAAGATCGTCATGTTTAAATAATAATGGGACAATGGTGCAAGAAATTTGCTCATTCATGGCAATCTTCACAGCAATTTGTCTTTTTTGCCTATGCACAAGCATTGTACACCAAGGACAATAAATAATAATTAGTTAATGGCTTCAATTTCAAATGCAATATTTATATTGAGACATCAACCTTGGATTTTCAATTTAGTTTGACATTGATTTCTGGATAGCAACCTAATTACATTTTAATGGTCTGTTTAATTCACACCAGGCTGGACTTTTGGGGGATATGCTGAATCTATAACACCTTTCTTTTGATAACATCAAGGGGACCTGCGTGATCATAACTCGACACCTACAAGATGTAACTCTTTCAATACAAGGTCTGAAAACAGTGTGACCAGATTTGGTAAATTAATTTACTTTTGGTAAAATTTGGCATTTTTTGGGAAAGTTTTGGTAAAATAAAATTTTGGTAAAATTTTTGGTAAAATTTGGAAAAAATCAAGTAATTTGGTAATTTTTTTGGTAAAAACAAAAAACATTGAATATAAAGATGTTGTACTTTATTATCTTGGCGAATTTGGTGACTGCCACTGAATCAATTGGCTGGGACGTAATAATCTGTCTACATGAAATTTTTGGACGGTTTGCTGTGTCTGGTACCGGGCGCTACCGGATTGAGGGCCTGACTCGCTCGTCTCGCTGTGTTTTTTTAAATATGCTTTGAGTTTGAGTTTTGACTCAACACTTTTTAAATCAAGTTTGTTTAAGTTTAAAATGGCTCATTCTGCTGGCAACAACACGATAAAGAAAAAAAGAACAGAAGGACCAAAGTATGCACAAAAATATCGCTCTGAGTGGGAATTGAAACCAGAATTTTCGAAGTGGCTAAGTGTAAGCAATTCATCGCAAAATTTTGCTTTTTGCAAAATATGTCGTTGTGAACTGCAAGCTTGTTTGGTAACTATTCGTTTGCATGGAAAGAGTGCCAAACATACTTCCTTAATGAGTAGTATGTCAGGAAGCTCTCAGGTATGTAATGTACAGCATGTGAATACTACTAAAAAAGTATTGGCAATGACTGAATTTTCATGTTTTAGAGTATCACTAAAGCTGCAGTTACATGTTTTTTGTTTTATTTACATGTAAATAGTTATCCAAATTTAGCAGCATTCGCAAAGGCTATGTTAACTATACCAGTTAGCAATGCAGACTGTGAACGTACCTTTTCCCAGGTTAACCTAATCAAAACTAAGCAACAAAATAGATTCTCAACGGAAGGTGTTGCTTCAATTCTTTTTGTCAAAGACGGCGTAAAGAACGTTGCTGAATCGTGTACTACTTTTCAACCATCTGACGAAATGCTGGCATTATTTAATGAGGACATTTACCCAGGGTTCGAATTAATGGATAGCGAATCGCGATTCGCTATCCGTTTTTTGCGTTTCGCTATTCAATTTGTAATACCGCCAGACACGCAAAAAATTTATATTTTAACATGAGAACAATTAATTCGTGAGCTTAGCAGAATAAAAGTCGGGATAACTGGAAGGAATTTGAAAGGTGTGTTTTACAACCATTTTCGTCTAAGCACAAACAAGACATTTTCACGCGTTTGTTTACGTTTGTAACGTGACCTTTGTGGTTTGAAACGGATGTCAATGGTGCAGCACACGATTGATTAAAATTTGAAACCCGCATTTTTGAGAATATATTAGATTGACGTCATGCGAGATTACAACCCGCATTTTTGGGTTTCCTATGATTAAAATAGACAGCGCAATGTCATATGTTGATGCACGTTGTATCAATTTAATTTATTTATTTATTATTTAATTTAAAACATTTAATTCAAATGATACAAGAGCAACAAAACTTGTTAAAGTAATCGTTTCCATTTTAAACGGTCAACGTCGTGTTTCAAGCGCTGGCTGAGATTATGACATTCTTTCAAAATCCAATTAGCAATATTTCCATAAATAGCGACGTAGCAAGTTCAAGTAAATTCGAGATAATAAGACGCGTCAACCCAGCACGCCTAGGCGGTAAAAAATAATACGTCAACCAAGGCACGCCTAGGCGGGGAGGACCTATAAATGTGTGTTGAAAATACTTCAAATGTAGTTAGATCTTGTAAGTTTGATTGTAAAGATGAGTTCCAAAGGGAAGGATCATAAAGCAGCACTTAAAACAGTACAGCGTTGGGAGAAGGAATTTGGTTGCGAATTCGACTATGATATGCGGGATGGTTTTGTTGTAAGGATACGATGCAAACTTTGTACAAAATGGGAGAGTCGTATAAACGGTATGAAGAATTTTTCCACCACTTGGATTCATCCAGGTTCAGAATCTGTGAAAAAACATTCTGTTCAAGGGCACACAAACAGTATAGCTCACATGGAGGCCAAGCGAATCGAGGACAAGAGCAAAATGGGAATTGAAGCGTATATGAATCGGGTAGTTGATGAAACACCTATCGGTCAGAACTTTAAAAACATGTGCATGAGCGTGAAAGATCGAGAATCTTTAAGAATTAAGTTTAATTCAGCCTACTATCTCGCAAAGCAAGAGAGGCCTTTCTCCGATTTTTCTGAACTGTTGAAACTTCAATCCAAAAATAACATTTTGAATATTGGAGAAAGTTACACCACTGATCGAGCAGCAGCCCAATTTGTCAATGTCATAGGAGAAGTAACCAGAGAAAGTCTAGAAGCTGATTTAGCAAAAGCACGTTATTACTCCATTTTGAGTGACGGCAGCACTGATGTTAGCACGACTGAACAGGAATTAGTGTATGTTTTATTCCTTCAAGATGGAACACCTGTCGTCAAATTTGCAGGTGTTGAATCGGCTACAACAGCTGATGCTGAAGGATTATTACGCGCAATTGAGAGTGCTTTCAGTCGACTTGGTATTTCTTGCTTTCCTGACCGCCTTGTTGGTCTCGACGTGGACGGAGCAAGTGTTAATATGGGCATACACGCTGGCCTTGGTGCAAAAGTTCGTGAATCTGCACCTTGGCTTGTTTTGGTTCACTGCTTTAATCATCGTATTGAACTTGCGTTGAAAGATGTTTTTGATGCGTCAGCATTTTCAAAAATTGATCAGATGCTCCGAGTACTTCATGCGCTTTACAATGCCAGTCCAAAACGCTATAGTGAACCAAAGCAATTAGCAGAAGCTTGGCAAACATCTATTCCAAAACCAACAAAGGCAACTGGCACTCGCTGGATAGAACACAAAGTCAACGCAATGAAAATAGCTTTAGAAAATTATGGGGCGTTTCTTAGTCACATTGAATCACTTTCTCAAACCGATTTGAATCCAACCAAGCGAGCGGAATTGGAAAGGGTATCTGAACAAATGGAAAGATGCTACATTTCCAATTTACCTGGCAATCTATTTGGATATCCTTTCTCCCATACGTCGCTTAAGTTTGGGTTTTCAGCAAGAATTGCACGATCCAGTTAAAGCGGTTCGTAGAGTTAAGGAGTTTTCCTGGTCCATGATGAAATTACGTGCCTTAATAGAGAAGTCCCTCAACGATCCCGCTAGCAAGCTCACTCATTACAAACGACTTATCGCTGAACTTGAAACCAATGAAAACGGGGAAACAGCTTATCAAGGCATTCCACTAGCTAGATTCGATTTTGTAAATGATGATGTTGCAAACCAGTATTCTGAAACAATAACTCAAATCGTCTCGAGCATGGAGAAGCGGTTTCAAGATTTGAATGCATCCCCAGTTTTTGCTGATATCACATCAATTTTGGACGTTTCAGTCTGGCCCAAGGAATTGAATGACGACATTTCATTTGGTGATGATGCTGTGAGTAAGTTGATTGATTTTTTTAAAATTCTTTTGGAGAAAAATGGTTGTAAAGTTGACCAAGCGTTGTTAGAGTGGGACACTCTGAAAACAATTGTTCAACCGTTCTTAAAAAGTACAGAAGTTAAGTATTTGGAAGTCTGGAAACGCATTTCGACGAGTGAGTCGACCAAAAATGATTGCAAAAACATTCTTCACCTGATCGAAATTCTTCTCATCATTCCATTTACAAATGCAAAAGTTGAAAGAATGTTTTCACGCATGAATCGCGTCAAGTCAGACTGGAGAAATCGTCTGAAGCGAAGTACACTTGACGACTTACTACGAATCGGGGAGGATGGCCCATCCCTTAGCGAATTCAACCCAGATATTGCTATCGACAAGTGGTTTAACGACAAAATAAGACGACTGAAGACTGGAAAACACAACTATCCTGCTAAGAGAAAGAAAGCAGCAGATGGAAATGCGGTAACGAGTTCACAAACTGTAGATATTGCAGAGTATGTCTTGTCTGACTTGGAATCACCATCGCCATCCAGTGATGAAGATGACTCTTAAATACAAAACTAAAGTACAATATAATAGTTATACTTACTGTATTGCGAATATTCAGAGAATTATAAACAATCATTATACGGCTTTTATACAGTTATTAAATAGTTTAATCACTTATTAAAAATTCGCTATTCACTTTTTATTGTATAAGGAAACAGGCGGAAAATTGCTATCCACTTTTAAAAATTTAATTCGAACCCTGCATTTACCACAACGTTAGAGCTGTGTATGGAGGTCAAGAAGAGACTGAAGAAGAGTCGGCGAACGCAGCAGACGCTGGCGAGGATGATTTGGAAACAATTGACGCTATGGAGATTGAATAGCCATAAATAGCCTAACACGTATCATTGTGACATATCACAATAATCACATGGAAACAGCGTTTTAGTTTGACGGTTTTTATATTCCTTTTAATATAAATGTTGTTTGAAATTGCTTGTTTGTATACTTGTTTATAGTAAGGCAATAAAGAGTACTTATAGGAAAAGTGTCTGAACTTATGTGTTATACAGTGTCGCCATGAAAATCAATGAAGGCAAAAAAAGAGTGTAGCGGGGGACGACATTGTTATGGCAATGTATGTACCCAGAAATTAAAAAAAATGGTAAAAAAAATATTCGTCTTAAAACACGAGCATTGCTCTTGATTAGGACATTCACATTAACACTTGCACTTTCCTGCACATCTAGGCCTTCGGGCCCAAGACACTGCATAAATAGTTAAAACAGTTCTTTTGCATGTTCTTCCTTTCTTCTAAAAAACACAATGACCTTTGTAGCATTATTTACATGCATTTCTTTTAATTCATCAATAAATGACTTGAAAGTATCACACAAGTAATTTCGTGATCCACATCCCTTACAGAATATCGAAGCCCGAATCCGGAAGCCTTGGTTGAGCCAGCTGAGTGAATTTGAACTTTGCGCTAATACTTGCTAATGCAGTGGTGTCATGTTCATCGAATGATGGATGTCATTGCAGGTCAAAGGTGTGGAAAAAAGAAACCTGATGCGCTGGGTTTTGGCGAAGGTAGGTTTAAAAAAAATAAATAATTAACAGTGAGTGTTAACACATGAATTTTGAATTGAAATGAGAAATACACACATCTGTTTAATAGTTAATTTATTAAAATCAGAAATGTTGTAACAGCTATTGACAAATCAGTAATAGCTTTTAACAAAAGAATAACTTTATTTTAAGATGTAAAAAAGTTATTAAAAATAATTTGAATAATGAGTGTAAAACCTGCAAAGCGTTAATCGTTCTAAGCAGTTATTTTGTGCAACACAGTGAAACATTTTTGATTTTGTGTTTATTGACAAATTGAAACCAGAATGACGAAGATTTTGTTGAAGAATTCCTATCCGAATCTAGGATTTGAGAGAGAATAATACAATGGATCCTTAAAATGGCTTCTTCATTTAGCATAATAATAATTAAAAAAAATTTGTTTCATTCATTATTATGTGTTTCAATTTGTCTGTAATTTCTACCCTAGATTTTTCAATCGATGTAATATAATTTTAAGCGTAAAAAATGTTTTCTCACGATTTTTAAAGGGTAAAAAGGTAAAGTGTATATCCCTCATTGCAGTGGCGGACACTTGACTGATTATTGGGGGGGCGAGTGCCGAAGGCGCAAGTCTTCTAGGGGGGTCCGGGGGCATGCCCCCCCGGAAAATTTTTAAAATTTGGATCTCTGAAATGGCATTTGCAGCATTCTGAGAATACATTTTGTAAATAATTTTAGGTTTTCAAAACACTATTTTAATGGTGCATTTTGTTATAAATCACATGCTAAGCATAAAAAAAAACAACATTTCAGAGAAAATATTCTGGATGATTATCTACATTTGTGACTTAAACAATTTTGACCGTTCAGCGATGTCAATGATGACATTTACTTACGAGACTCGCAGTAATGTGTCCAACAAAATGCATATATGCTACTATTTAACGAAGATAATTGTTGTATGTGTTAAAAATAGAAAGTTTATCATTCTCTGATGTAAAATACACATTTAATACATTTAATTTCATGTTAAATACGAAGTTACAACCATTCGCTAAACGGGAAAAAAACAGTGTTTATGAGCAGATTATAGGAATATTTCAAAACGCTTCCGAACAAACAAAGAAATAAACAATACAAAATCGTGCGCAGGACGGACTTGACAGCCACTTTAAGGCCATGTTTACACTGCATTGGATAACCTTCCGCTGTAACCTGAGTATCAGGCTCTTCCGCTGCGACGCGAAAACCATACCGGATAGGCGTTTAGAGCCTACAGACTGACGTAATTGGACACGATTAAGCTTAGTCATTGGCTGTCGATAAATTCACTTACTCATAAAGTATTACCGTATTGCATCAGAAATTATGTCATAGTTCTATATCTAGAATTTAGGTCATAATTTACACCTACCCGTTAGTATAAATAGCTAAGCGCAAAACATCCATTATTCATATGGCTAAAGTCTGTACACTGTGAATGTGAAATTGTGAATCTTTTGAAATCCATTTTCCAATATATATTTTAAACTTATCGTGAGTGATTGTATTGTGAATTGTTGAGACGGGTGAAACAATTAAGAGAGGCGAACTTCAACAATATGAAGAGGACTGCAAATCGCACAATAACTTCATATTTTGCTAAAAGAGCAAATCTTGAAGTGACTAATGAATCAGATGGAGCACCATTAACAGCTGGAGCTGTGGCAACCACAACAGTGAACGAAGAAGATAGCGCTCACGTCAGGACTACCGACAACGATACAGTGTCAAGCTCTCTAATCCCGTCAACATCTGCTGCTGTTACTCCGTTGACTCCTTCAGTATGTGTTGTTCAGCCGCCGCAAGTGGGAGTTCGTCCAGTTGATCTAGACTCTGCAGTGAGTGATCTTGGAACTTTGGTGGATGGGCCCTCGCAGCCAAACCTTGGATCCTATCCGAGAGGCCAGAAGAATCGTTGTTTTCGAGCAACCTGGTATACAAGTTATCCGTGGCTTGAATACAGCATTGCAAAAGACAAGCATTTTGTTTTGCGTAGGAACTTTAGCACATCGACGTCAAAGAGCGACACAGCATTCACTAAAGTTGGTTTTTCTACCTGGTCAAAGGCGATGGAAAAAATTCGCGGATTTAAAGCCCATGACGCATGCTCTGATCACCTCCTTTCCATGACTCGCTGGGAAAGTTACAACATCCAGAAAAATAATCCAGGAGCTAGTATTGGAAATATGTTAGATCCTGGAAGACCGTCTTTAGTGGAAAACAATCGAGAATACACGAAGACGCTGTTGGAGTATCATCGGTACTTTTGTTCTGAAGAGATGGCGTATAGAGGGCACGATGAAACTGACAAGTCGCTCAATGCAGGAAAGTGGAATGAATTCATCAATGTGATGCTACGCACTAACCCAACATTCAAACAACTGCATAGGAGGGTGATTCAAACATACAAAGCATACGACTACACATCAAAGCGATCTTCGCTCGAGTTAATAAGAGCCATGGCTTCCGAGGTTCGACATCTGATAGAGGAACAGATAGACAGAGCGGGATGTATTCAATGCTCATCGATGAATGCAAAGATAATGCGGGGCATGAAGAGCTGTCGACTTGTTTTAGGTTTGTAAACGACGAAGGACAAATCGAAGAACGATTTTATGATCTCGCTAGACTTAAAGAGACTGATGCCCAGACCATTGTGAATGAAGGGGTTTTGGCAACAATTGAAAAACTGAGCTCGTCCACCACTCTTCTGGCGCTTGGAGCAGATGGCGCATCTGTTATGAGCGGATGTTACGAAGGCGTAGCTGCTAAACTGAGGAGATATTATCCTTGGTTGCTTTATATCCACTGTGCTGCGCACCGTCTGAATTTGATTGTTGCGGCTTATTTTCGTACAGTTAATGAAGCATGTAATGTAATAAATGTCTACAAGGCTTTACACACCATTTTCAACGTCGCCAGCAACAGAGAAATATTCGAAGCTGTTCAAAAGGAGTTTTATCCAAAACAGCCCATAATGGCAGCCTCCTCTCTTACAGAAGTTCGATGGGCTTGTAAGTTTGAGGGTGTTAATACAATGGTTAAAAGACTCCGAGCGATTCTTGTAAGCCTTCAGAAGATCGGTGCTTCCAATTCAAAACAAGCCGATTCAGCAGCGGGTCTCTATCACAAAATTCTCTCGGGAAAATTTGTTATATCCCTTTGCTTTCTTCATCAGCTTTTGTCAATAATGCATGGATTAAGTAAGGCTATGCAAGAGACCAATGTCAAATGGCTAAACGTAGCCAACGAAATGGTGGCTGTAAGGAAGCTTCTTGTTGAGATTGAAACCAATGACATCATTGAAACCGCCAAAGAGCTATGCTCGACTGTGAACATTACCTTGGACTATGAGGATCCCGTGCATGTTTCCAGACAAGATTCCACAAGATCTGCATGCCCTCGTGAATTCTGTAATCGTCTCAAGGCAACTTCTGTTCCCACGCTTCTCGAGGAGTTGGAACGACGTTTCTCTGGTGCGAATACTGATATACTGGGAGCTCTGGAGGCTTTAGATGCATCAAAATCGACATACCTGGATTACACGACTGTCCAGTGTCGTTGCCAAATTTGGAGATTGTCTCCATATTGACTCTCCCTTGCTTAAAACCGAGTGTGAACGGGCGAAGATTCTAATTGCGGCCGGAAAGAACATCGACCCTGAGTTGTACCCCAACTTATTCAAGGTGATCGCCATATCGAAGACCTTGCCAGTTGGTACTGCAACCGTGGAAAGAAGCTTCAGTGCTATGAATCGGATATTGAGCTGGGTTCGTAATAGCTTAGACAGTTCGTTGGCCAATGACTTTATGTTACTATCGATGAACAAAGACCTGTTAAAAAGGATAAACTTGGACAAAGTGCTTGATCGTTGGGTAAATCAAAAAGCCCGAATTGCACCTTTTAATTAAAAACATGTTAAACTATCATCTTAATACTGTAGATACTTTCAAGTTTCAACTGTTGTTATTATTGTTTATAGCCATCGATAGTGCTATGCCTACGGCTACGTCGTGTCAATAGTCAAATGAGAAGATTAAAATTGTTTCTAAAGAAGCATGCTGCTTAAATCTGTTGTACATTTGTGCTTAGTATATTTTTCGCTGTAAGTCTTTTATGCAATGTGTGAACATTTCTAACCCTTTGGGAAGCAAAATTCATATGACAATGGAAAAATGTGAAGCATCAAGCATGTTGTAACTTGTAAGAAATTTCTTTATCCAAACTTCCTTCATAACACTTATTTTGTGGGATTAGAATACTTTCGCTTGTTTTTTTAAAACACGCCATTTTGCTGCTGTTGTTATAAAGTAGTGCTTTTACAGTTTACTTCTTGAAATGAAAACTTTCTCGTGCTTCCACTTTTCAAAATGAAAGCTTCAGCTAAAATTATTGGGGGGGCCATCGCTCCCCCTCGCCCCCCCTAGTGTCCGCCACTGCAGTCATGGCTCATTGTCAAGGTGATCTGTGAATCTTTTCAACTTCCCAATTGCACCCGCATTCTTTCATAATGAAACTTTGCTCTGCCAGTGTGTAATTTTGAAGCCTTGATTTGCGAAACATTCTATTCAGGCTTTGTGCAGGACAAAGTATCATAAAATGTGATTACAATAAACGTTCATTGTTCCGTGCTTAATTCAGGCATTGTGTTCTTCAAATCTATTGTTGAACATTGAATAAGCAGAATTTTTGCGATAAATTTGCATTTTAGTTTTCAATAACAATTAGATTTTAAAGCCCTTTGGGACTAATTTCAATAAAACAAATATCCAATTTCCATCGGCGGAAAATTGTGATTTTTATGAACTTTTTTTGTAGAACCAGTACTGCTTTATTTTTCAACTAAATGACACATACAACATGTCATTTGAAAGAGAAATAAATTAACCTAACAATGGTGTTAAAAATCAACCAAATATATTTTGCATTATTGTATGCAAAATTTAGATTCGAATTTTTTATACACCCTGTACAGTCAGGGAAGAGCACATCTTCTCCTGTAAAAGCTCTCATCTTACTTTCTTTTTCAGGAAAATCAATTCTTTTTTAAAAAGAAAAAAATAAATTGTAAAAAAATTCTAGATTGTAAGTATACGATTTGCACTTACATTGAATCAAGTTGTATGGTTTCTTACTATATTATTACTGATATTATTTTCAATATCTTTTATGCATTTTATGCAAAACCGAACACGGAAATGCAGAATCTTGCATTTGAGATGTTCACACCATACAAATCCGTTATCATCAGATTTTTGCACTTTTTCTTCACTAAGAAATTTGTTGCATTGGAAGTGCGCGCAGCGTTTGAAGCAATATGTTAAACGATCTATGGTTTTTCCCGGGTCTGGATTTCAGGGTCAAAGAAATAGGACAATAGCTTTTCCAGTTTGTCTTAAAATTCCTTGTTAGCCATGTTTTTTCTGAATGAGTATCAAAATATCTCCATAATCTTAATACTCTACTTAAAGATGCAGTGAAGAGAGAGTATTATCCAGTGAAAACTGTCGAAGATGTTCTGAATAGATTACCCATACTAGATTACTAGATTCCAAATTTTCTTACAATAAATAAGCTTGCATGTTCATCTTTCACACCAACTATTTACCATCGCGATTATTCAAATTTTAATGAGGAAATCTTTTACATGTTGTCCAACTAATTGACTGGGGGAATGTCTTTTCCATGACTGATGATATAGATCTAATCTTTTAGTCCTTTCATACTCAGTGGCGTAACTAGCGGTCCCTCTACCTGCCCGGCGGGATGAAAAATGTCCTAAAAATTAGACTAACTAATTAACTAAAATCGCAATTAGATCATTACTTATTTCAGAAAAATTTTCAGTCAGTGCTTTCATTGTTTACTTAATGCATTTTACACAATTTTGCAGCAGTCTACTTGTCTTATGAAACAATGGAAATTGACGATTAGCTAATTTCCATGCAGTTTCGTTGTTTACTCGCACGATTCTGTCCCGTGTTCTGCCGATTTTGAAATGGCGGAATTTGCAATACTATTTATTAAAGAAATTCTCGTTTCTGGTTGGATAACTAACACAGCGCATGCTCAGAACGGCCATTTTAATGCCGAAGTCCCGCTATTTTATATAGGCGGAGGCTGTTAATATTCAGCCTTTCTTTCAAAGTTTTCTGTGTGAGTACACACATATTGTCCTTTCTCCTTGAAATTTTTATACAAATACAATGGCATCTCTGTTTTAGCAAAATTCTTTTGTTGGCCGTGTCTTTTGTTGTTTTGTCCGGGAGCGTCGCCCGCATGGACGAAGATTGGCTATACAGACAGAAGTTTGATGTCAGATGGCAAAAAGCATGAGAAGAATTCGGCTTCAAACCACAATTCATCAAGTGGGTCAAACTTCTGTATAATTCTGTTTTCTGATCAGTTAAAACCAACAGTTGGATGACAGCTTTTGTAAATATAGAACAAGGACAAAAGTACACCTCACAGCAGATAAACCGAGGTACCCCAAAGTTCCACAAAGAACTACTAACATCATGGCTCAAGTACAACCAACACACTGAACGTACACACGAACCAACAAACGTAACCGACATACTCAATGAACCATTATTTCGAAACCCGGCAATACAAGACAACAATGGCCAGGAGCTGTAAAACGCCAAATGGGGAACAGCAGGTGTTACACAACTAAAAGACATATGAACTGCTACAAGAACTTCAATGAACTGCTACAAGACGAAGATGAAGAACAGACCGAGTCGCTTGACAACACAAGGCAGGAACTTAACAGAGTAAAGGGCGCTATACCTATCAACTGGACTAGGAAAATACAACGGGAACATACCAAATGACCTAAACCTACAGTGCAGCCTCGCTTTAGGGTAAACATAACAGCACAAGAGACAGTAGACATAACACAACTCAAGACAAAACATTTCCACAAACAATTGACAAGAAATGAACAAGCAACAATCGCATCCCTTGCTTGATCATTGGAAATCATATCAAATGGACTGTTGGTTTACGATCCTTAAACAGGCTGTGTCGATTCGTAAATAGGGTAAAATGTGCTAAGTTATACAGACCACAGTAAAGCTTGTCATTCCGTACCATTGGTGTAGAATGGACTGTTGGTTTACGATCCGTAAATAGATTTTGTCCATTGGTAAAAAGGAGATGTGCCAAGCTACAGGCCCCTCTAAATCTTGTTGATCCGTACCATTGGTATCGAATGGACTGTTAGTTTACGATCCGTAAACAGATTTTGTCCATTGGTAAAAAGCACAAGATAGGCCAAGCTACATGCCGCTCTAGAGCTTGTCGATCCGTACCATTGGAATCGAATGGACTGTTCGTTTAAGATCCGTAAACAGACTGTGTCGATTCGTAAATTCAATTTGTAAACGCATTTTGTCGACTAGAACATAAGGCATGGAAACTAGCGTGTGTCTAAGGCGTAAGCAGCTGTATCCCCAAACAGACTGTGTCCATTTGTAAATAGGGCACGCAAGATGTGTCTATAGGATTAGGCGATGAAGAGATTGTCGATCCTTACCATTGGTATCGAGTGGACTGTTCGTTTATGATCCGTAAAGAGACTGTGTCGATTCGTAAATAGGGAAGTTGTGTCTATAGGATAGGCCTCTGAAAAACTTGTCGATTTGTACCATTGATATCGAATGGACTGTTCGTTTACGATCCGTAAACAGACTGTGTCGATTCGTAAATAGGGAAGTTGTGTCTACAGGATAGGCCTCTGAAAAGCTTGTTGATTTGTACCATTTGTATCAAATGGACTGTTCGTTTACGATCTGTAAACTGACTGTGTCGATTCGTAAATAGGGAAGTTGTGTCTATAGGATAGGCCTCTGAAAAAAGGTTGTCGATCCTTACCATTGGTATCGAATGGACTGTTCGTTTACAATCCGTAAACAGACTGTGTCGATTCGTAAATAGGGAAGTTGTGTCTATAGGATAGGCCTCTGAAAAGCTTGTTAATTTGTACCATTGGTATCAAATGGACTGTTCGTTTACGATCTGTAAACTGACTGTGTCGATTCGTAAATAGGGAAGTTGTGTCTATAGGATAGGCCTCTGAAAAAAGGTTGTCGATTCGTACCATTGGTATCGAATGGACTGTTCGTTTACGATCTGTAAACAGACTGTGTCGATTCGTAAATAGAGAAGATGTGTCTAGGATAGGCCTCTGAAAAGGTTGTCGCTCCGTACCATTGGTATTGAAAGGACAGTTAGTTTTTGATCCGTAAACAGATTTTGTCCATTGGTAAAAAGGGGAAGATGTGCCAAGCTACAGGCCCCTCTAAAGCTTGTCGATTCGTACCATTGGTATCAAATGGACTGTTGGTTTACGATCCGTAAACAGATTTTGTCCATTAGTAAAAAGCACAAGATGGGCCAAGCTACATGCCGCTCTAAATCTTGTTGATCCATACCATTTGTATCGAATGGACTGTTAGTTTACGATCCGTAAACAGATTTTGTCCATTGGTAAAAAGCACAAGATAGGCCAAGCTACATGCCGCTCTAGAGCTTGTCGATCCGTACCATTGGAATCAAATGGACTGTTCGTTTACGATCCGTAAACAG